CACTTTGTGTGATCTTGCAGTAGTTGTTTCTTCAGTTTTTTTTTTTTTTACAGAGGCAGCATTTGCTGTCTGATGCTGTTTTCTCATTTGTTCTTCATCTTCTGTAGCTAGAATTAACTCCTCTATTTCTTCAACTTTCCTGCTCTTAGTCATTCCAAGATCTTGTTGCTATCTGCTTTGCCTGCTAGTTTTGTTTATATACTGGCCATGTAATACTTTGCTTTGCCATGTCTCTTTTCTATTCCTCATTTGGTCTTTTTTATAAACCAGTTTGGTCTCTCCAATATTCAGTAAACCTTCATGTACTAATTTCAGTGCATCTTCTTCATTGTCCTTCAAACATTATTCCAATGCCCTTTATTATTCTTCAACTGTGTGGTGAACGTGCAACATTCCACATCCATATCTCTTTTGGGAATGAAAATAATTCAGTAGCTATGCTGGCTTCCTTTATTGCCAACTCTCCTTAGTTTGCCTCGACAATTTGAGCTGCTTCTGGCAAGGGTTTAATTTCTTTGCCCTGGGTAGATTTTTGGGGTTCTGCCAAATCGGCTTCTGTGAATACTTTATTTTGTATTATAAATCAAAGGTTGATCTACTAGCCTCTGTTATTTCTGATTTTGCATTTTCCAGAACTGATGTGTTCTTTTCAGATATCTTCTGGATTTGATTTATGATAACAGATCATTATTTCTTGTTACAATGTTTGTATATTTGTGATGAGTAAGCAAATTTTCTTCCAATAGTCTTGAAGCTGCTGACCCTAGTTGCTCAGCCAACAGTCCTAAGTCCTGTAGCCCATTTGTCACCAGATGTCCAGGAACCCCAACACCTAGCATGCTCCTTGTTGACTTGGAGAATGACTAATCCAGTATGGGTTAAAAAGTAGTTTTTAAATCTTCAGTTTTCCCCCACCATTTGAATAGGATAATTTGTTTGCATAGTACAAAAAATAATGATCAAGCTTCCTTCCTGTTTCAAGGGAATCACCATAATCATGGGCAAACCATTATTACTGCACTATGGTTTCCGTGCTTTAAGATATATTTAGTAAAAGGTTTTTTTTTTTTAAAAAAAAAGAAGTGCTGGAAGCTTTCCAGATAAGTAAAAGATTCAGTAAATAAATATTATTCAACTTAATCATAGTGGGTAGGTTTTCACAGCTGTTCTTGATTATCAAAATGACTTATGACTAATGCTATGTGGAAAAATGTATGATATTGAATGATGGGGCAATGGTGATGTTTCATTGGCCATGCTGCAAGCTTCTTCAGAATTAAGTACATTCATTATTTGCTTTGTTTAGTAGAATTTGTAGGCTGCCTGATTCCCAGAGAGCATGGGTGGCTTACAGTCTAATAGGAAAGGTATTAAAAAAACAAAGAAGATAAAAAATCATGAGCAAACATTTAAACAACAACAAAAACCATTTGATAGGGCATCACCATGTGCAAGTACTGGGAGAACAGCCACCTCCCTAAACATCATCAGGGTGGGATCTATCTGAATCTCTGGAGAGATATCATTCCAGATGTCAGGCATTATGACAGAAAAGGCTTGGGTCCCATGACATGACATGGCTAAATGACTGGGACCCCAAACACACCCACTCTTCCTAGCTCACTGGATGTAGAGGAAGAACCAGGGAGGCAGTCCTCAAATAACCAGTCTCTTCCTTATGCCATGAAGATAACTAATACCTTGAATTACATCTGGAATCTAATTAGTAACCAATACTGCTTACAAAGTGGTTGGCTTCCATAAGCATGAGGACATGCCTTTCATTTCCTGCATTAGTATATCTGATCTAGCTATAGCTTCGTCATGGACAACCCCATGTAGAGTGTCTTACAGTAATCTATCCAAGAGTTGATCAAGTTGGAGGTAACTGTCTGAAGAGCCTCTCAGTCCAGGAAAGAGTGCACTAGATATACTATACAAAGACCTTCTTAACTACAACTTTTTGAAAGGACCTGAGTCTAAGACAACTTTTAGATTGTGCACCAGTGTTCAGTGAGGAATGTGCAACTTCATCCAAGCCCCAAAATGGAAAATCATCAGATCCAGGGGGCTCAAATATCATCACCCCCTCTCTCTTGTCAAAATTATGTCTGTTCTTCTCCATCCAGATCCATAGAATCTCTGCACACTGGGGCAGACTTCAATATCATCCTTTGTTTGATCTGGAATTGTGATGTATACTTGGGCATCATCAATCTATTAATGATACTTGACCCCAAACTGATGACTCACCCAGTGGTTTCATGTAGATGTTAAACAACAGCAATTGTCAAGTCGTATGACCCCCCCCCCATAAGTGTCATAAGTCTCCCCCCACCATCACAAGTGAGAGGTCATGGACTCAATCTCCTCCCTACTTAACATTGATTGAAACCAGAGACAAAAGAAAAGAGTAGAACTGCCACATAACAGTGCTGCCCACTCCAAAGCATTCCCATCAGTCCAGAAAGATGCCATAATTGATGGTGTCAGAAGTGGATGAACCCTTCCAGACTGAATGCTTTATTCATGATGTGCATAATGTGTTTGCTTATTCTGTTATCCTTTTATTTTATTTTTTGTTCAATTATTCCATTTGCCAGCTCTAGTTGTGTTTTGATTTAGTTACGTTTTTATGCTTCTGTCCAATTTTAAACTGTTCATACATTGGTGTGTCTGAATTTATAGACAGGTACACCAGGGCAAGGTATTCAATTCTCTTCATAGTGAAAACACTTGCTAATCTAACATAAATCATTCATGAGTAAACAATAGATCTCAATATCCTATTCCTGATTTATGAAAAGCAGGGTCCCAGATTGAATTCACTGAATGGTAGAATGAATGGAATTTGCTCCAGCATGCATCTCACTAGCCTCATGGTGTTCTGTGATAAGTTATCAAGAATTATACTTTTTCTACTTTAAATCTTCTGCCAGTTTTAAAGAGGATAGTGCCACAATTACTAACGCAATTGTATTAGAATCCAGACAGAAAGTGGGCTCTGCTCCCATTATCCTTTTCTTTTCCTGGTCTTGCCATTACTTGGAATACTCTGTTGCCTTTCCTTCAGAAGGGAAGTTTCTGGCAGCTCCTAATAAATCAGTCTGTTTCTGAAACCTGTGAAACTGTTAATAATATAAACACTATAGACAATGCTAGTCCAAGAATTGCCAAGATGCAAATGCAGCTTGTCCTGCAGAAAATTCCCACATTGAAGATGAGCCAGAAAGATCAGCTTCATTCTAGCTATATGGTTTCTTTCTTTCTTTCTTTCTTTCTTTCTTTCTTTCTTTCTTTCTTTGGGAGGAAGTACCACATAAGCAAAGGCAGACAATCTCATGATCTAGGGACATCACAGTCATATGTTTATCATTTCAAAACAGAAACAGTGACATTTTTAAAAATGTGAATTGACAAAACTTTATTTATGAAAAGATCTTTTTCTAAAAAAAAATCATGCAATGTGTAAGGATAGCAATTTAGAGCAGAGTGGAAGAGAAATTCTATTGTATGCACAATTATATATAATCTATCTTTGAATTGTTGTGTACCCTTCTGGTTATGGAATTTTTTTATTTTTCTAAAAAATAATAATAAGGGAAATTCCATGCATTATGGGAGATCTCTATAGATTCTATTTGTTGTGCTGTCATTAAACTCTCTTTTTTTCTCATTTACTTGCTTGCCTATGAGATAACTACATGGAATGTCAGGAAAATATAGGAGAAAATAGTTAAACAGTTTTGTTTAAAGTTTTGTTTTAAGTAAAATGTTATAAAAATTGACTTGAATCAATTCACCTTGAGTAAAAAAAATGACTTAAGCCAATTCAACTTGAACAAATGAATTATTTGATTCTACAGTGTATCTATCTATATTCAGTCAGTATCTGCTTACCTTGGCACTATACGCATATTCCTAACCTGAGAGTTGGGGGTTTATCAAGGCTATGACTCTCTCAGACCTCTTCTGAGACTTACTCATATCAAATCTCTTTTCTTCCAATTTCTCCTCCAAGTATAAACTAGGAGGAGATGCCCTGTAGTTGCCATATTTTGGGAGTTCTACCGCCCATTCATTAGAGTTGTGTTCTTTATACTGTTTGTTAACAGTAATCATGTCTGAAAATATGCTTTTTTAATATGTACATCATTTTCTGCATTAAGAAACTGGCATGTTCCAAACTAATAAATAATTGTGTTGCTCTGGAAACATAAACATCGCCCTTGTTGTTAAATACCATTCATTCAGCAACCATTTGATGGTGATGAATGAAGAGACTTAGATCCATGCCCAAAGTTATAGCCACTGTAGCCAGTGGTGACCCAGTGGTCACGTGATTGCAATCTGGGCTCTTGGCAACCCATTTGCGCTTATGCCATATTGCCAAGCGCCCTACAATCATGTGCTCACCATTTGAAGTCTTCCCTACCAGCTTCCCCAGAAAGTCAACTGAACCTAGCAGAATTTAATTTGAAGGTTCATTTGTAAATAAAACCTATGTGATCAGAGTTAAAGAATGAATATGGTGGCAAAAATCCATGGAAATTCATTTGTGGTATCATGTTTTATAACAGAAATAAAGCAAGACAAAACAAAAACCATCTCTAGAAAATGGGGTTCTAAGAGTACTGAAAGTGCCAGTCCAAGTACACTGAAAACTCCAAGTGCTGATATTGTCTTAAATTTAAGGAATTCACTTTCTGTCCAATCTACCTTTATATTTATACTTGGCATTTTAGTCTTCAAGGACTGTAGGGTAAATCTAATAGAGATTAGTGAGACTTTGTTGCATTTAGCATCTTTTTTAAGATTGCATTTCAAGTATATTGCAGAATATATGTCTTAATTAGTTCTTTTTTTAAGGACTTTTTCATAGTACGTAACATGAATCTAATAGTACTTGCAAATAAACTATTGTGAAATTAATGTCACTTTTAAATCAAAATTTATATATGCATACATATATATATATATTGTTTTGTTTTATTTTTTAGTTTAAATCATATGCACAGTGGATGATTTGTCATCATGAATCGTGCTTTTAGCAGAAAAAAAGGTAAGCAGTTTCAATTCAATGATATTGAAAAAGTGAAAAAAGGAAGCATTGGGGAAAAAAAGACAAAGTTCAAAAGGACAAAACTTGAAATGACATTTGGCAAGAGCATTATGATAAAATGCCTTAATGAGTTGTTATTTAATTATTTGCCATTTGTAACAGGAGTGGTTTATAAGATTTAAAAGATAGACTAAAGTTATATAACAATCATTTATATTACTGAGCCAGGGTAAAGGGGAAAAAAAAGAAAAACAAGCATTCACACAAAACCTGGGAAAAAAATAGAAATCTTCCAAATGGGCACCTGAAGAAGTGAGCATTTTCATGCACCTGACTTGTAAGGGCACTCTGGAGTTCTCATCACACGTAATAGAAGCTCTCTTGATAATCTTATTGACTGACCAAATCTAACGATAAAAAAAGTCCCATTAGGTATTCTGGTCTGAATACTCAGGCTTCTTTCAACAAGTCAGAATGGAAATGGGTGTTTCAAGAACACAGAGTTCTTATAAAAAGATTATAGAAAAGTTATTAAAGCAATTACAAAAGGATTCCAGTGGCTGCTAGATATAAAATACAAACCCAACATACAAGGACAACAAGGTTTAAATTCTTGTAGCTCTCAACTGAGGATGAGGAAAATGATTATCATTTGTCCACTCTCTTAGCACCTGACAAGAAACAGTTACTAAATAGTGATTTACCACCTACAAAAGATGGCCACCAGTTTTAGAAACTGAGTTTAGATTTATTATAAGAGGGTCTGAAGAACAATGAAGCTCCTGGCAAGCATTTTTTGCCATATGAGCTATTTAAAAAATATTCTGCCTAGTATATATGAGCTATTTATATGGCAACACTGTAATATGATGCAGAGCTGATTTGGGGGTTCATGTATACCATTAAACTTGTCTTGATATGTGTCTAATGGATACATTCATTTTTCTTGTTTCTGTGTGATGACAGACATGTGTATGTACATATGTATTATGTATGTAATACCATATTTCCCAGAAAATAAGCCCTGTCTTATATTTTTTTGAACCCTGAAATAAGCGCTTGGCCTTATTGCCATGCGCTCAAAAGCCTGATTGGGCTTATTATCAGGGGATGTCTTATTTTGGGGAAAACAGGGTATATATATGTATATCTATTTTCATAGACTTGCATGTGGTCTGCTAGGAAAAAAATCCTTGGTTTTCTTTTTTTAAAAAACAGTATTAAAAACCTGAAATAAGGAACTCTACTCTTATATCACTTCCTGTCTTGACTATTGCAACCTGCTCTACACGGGGCTGCCCTTGAAGAGTATCCAGAAGCTCCAGCTGGTGCAAAATGCAGCAGTCCTCATGGTTTTGTGCAGACCCCAGTGTGCACATGTATTATCTCTCCTCTGGGAGCTGCATTGGCTGCCGATTTGCTTCCGGGTGCAATTCAAAGTGCTGGTTGTCACCTTTAAACTCCTTCATGGCTTGGGATCAGGTTATTTGAGGGACTGTCTCTTGCCAGTCACAGCTACCCGACCCATCAGAGCGGGGAGATAGGGAATGGGTGCCATCCCCTAGGACAGTGGTTCTCAACTTTCCTAATGCTGCGACCCTTTAATACAGTTCCTCATGTTGTGGTGACCCCCAACCATAAAATTATTCCTAAAACCATTGAAAATATATGTTTTTGAGGTTAGCAAAAATGTACCCGAATGTAAATTCGGCTTGTTGGAAATGTAAGCAAGCTCAGGGTACTTTCTTCCATTCATGGTGGCTTTGCCCAGAAGTCAAGAAATATTGGAGGGAAATAAAAACATGGATAGTAGAAATAACAGATCCAAGAAATTGAATTAGAACCAGAAATCTTCTTATTAGGCATGATCAAAAGGAACATTAGACAGGACATCATTTACTTAACATTACACATAATTACGGCGGCAAGATTGGTACTAGCACAATTATGGAAAACAGATCGTTTGCCAACAGACCAGGAGATAATTCAAAAAATTTACGTATGTGCAGAAATGGATAAATTAACCTTAAAATTAAAAGACAAGGAAGACTCAAAATATTTTGAAGTATGGAATAGATGGTATAAGTGGGTAAATCAAAGGAAAAAAGGGTAAAGACTAAACTTAGGAAAAATCTAAGGTAACAAATAAGCACCGTAAGGTAGATAGAATAAGGAATAAATCACTGTTTATATATGTATGTATATATGTACACATAGGTACATATATTTAGCTTGTTGGTGGAGTTGTGTATTGTATATGCAATTTTACGATTGAGAAAAATGTGTATAATTTTGTATTTTAAATTTTTTAAATTCAATAAAGTTTGTTTTTTAAAATTAAAAAAAAAAGAAAATATGTGTTTTCCGATGGTCTTAGGCGACTCCTGTGAAAGGGTCATTCGACCCCCAAAGGGGTTGCGACCCACAGCTTGAGAACCACTGCCCTAGGAAGATGCACCTGGTAGAACCTTTCCCCCAGAGAACATCCTTCCCCCAGAGATTAGAATGGCCCCCACTCTAACACTCTTCCAGAAGGCACTGAAGACCTGATTTTGCCAGCGGTCCTGGGGAATCCAGAGCAGAATGGAGCCCATTAAATGGCTCGTGTGATTGGCTGTTGCCAGGGCAGGGGATGGGGGATGATTTTATTATATTATATTAATTTATTTGATTCTTTTTATTAGTTTTATGGTTTTAAATGAGGTTTTATATTTTGTAAGCCATCTTGAGTTGCCATGGGTGAATAGGCGGCAATATGAATTCAATAAATAAATAAAGATATAAATGGCAATGTGTATTCAAAATACCATACTTTGAATGAGCCTCCCACCTACAATACTATATATCAGACTTAGCTAAAGTGCTAGGACAAAGTCCTGATTTAAGCTTTTCATTTGAGGTTTTAGGAACTATAACACTCAAATAATAGTTTGTAATAAGACGAACATTGCTTTAGTTTCTGCTTGTACACAGAATGATTTATTAATATCCAATTTGGTAGAAACTATCATTATTTCCTACTGTGGTTTCCTGCAGTGCAGTCCACATGGCATGGTCAAACAAAGACAAGGCAACCATGATGGTGCAATGAAAGCTCTACCTGCTTGTTTAAGTTTTTCATGGTTGCCATCTTGATTTTATTGATCAAACCCTAGTTCATTGAAATTTACTGAAACCAGCCAGGATGAGGCACAATTCAGTTAAACTAAGCAGAATCTTTTCACCGAGATGGAATAATGAATTACGGTAATCAGTAGTTGAAAATGCAGGCAAGTGCCCATCAACTTCTGCTAGCAGGGGAGAAGTAATAGGATTGTGCAAGTTACACCAAATTATGATTTAGTGCTGCTCTAAATTAATGGTTTCATGCTTAATGTGTCAGAAATGAGCAGGAGTAATCCTTTTGCTTATGCACTTCTCTATTCCTCTGGTGGGGCTGTGAAGAGTAGATTGAAAGTGTTTGCTTCCATTTTAAGAGTAAGTGTAATGTGTTTTGCATTATGAAGATAACTATAATCTTGCAAGAATTCAAAGAAGCAGCTCGTGATAGACAATCCTGGAGAAATTATGTCAATCAGTTAGGGCTTTCTTTGAAGGTTAGTTTTAATGGCAACATTTTTAGAAGTGGTTTGCCATTGATTTTGTTCTAGGACCAAGAGAGAATAACTGGCACATATTATCCAGCTGCCAGTTGTTCATTTATTCAATTTGTATAGCCATCTAAAAGTAGCGGATTTTACTTCACAAGTCATTCTGCCTATAGGGGGCGGTACTCATCTCTGTTTCAAGGCCATTGAGCCAGTGCTGTCCAAAGACATTTCCATAGTTACGTGGCCAGCATGACATCATGAAGCACTGTTACCTTCCCACTAAAGCAGTACCTATTTATCTACTTGCATTTGTATGCTTTGAAACTGCTAGATTGGCAGGAACTGGGGCAAGGATGGCTGGCACTCAGGTCTCGAACCTGGGCTGCAGCTTTCCAGCCAACAAGCCCAGCGTCTTAACCGCTGAGCCACCCACACCTAAGCCAGGACTAAAACATTCCTTCTCCAGAATCTTATCTGTTAGATGAAATTGGTTCTCTGTTTGGTATAAGATTAAATTCACTTGCAGGTTTATTTTGGAAGTTATTTGGTGGTGGCGGCGGTAATAGTAGCGGGGGAATGATAAAGTATATTCTTCAATATCTAGAATGAAGATGATAATATTCAAATGCATGCCTATTATGATTTCCTTTAGGTAGAGCACAAAGATTAAAAAGTTTTAACTATATCTTTTTCCCCTTAGGCCCTATATAAATTTAATATAAAAAAAGAAAAAGAATGGGAAGAGAGCAAGGAAAACAGATAAATTAAGTCATAAATTATTTATCAGCCAACCAAATGTTTTAAAAGTTCACTCTAGTAAGAATGGTTTTTTAGGCACTGTTTTGTATTACAACTCTAAATTGTATATTAAAAATTTAAAGAACAATTAACCTATTCCAAAATGAAATCTGCACTATGCCAGGTACAGTATTCATTTGGTGGTTGTTACAGTAATATTATCCTGGTATTTCATTTTATTGCAAAAGCAAGTATAAAGAGGGAGGGGACTAATTAACCAAATCCAAACTTCTTTAGGAGATATTTATTTGCCTGGGAGTAAAAAATAAATGTACATAATAAACAAAAAGTTAACTGCACAAAAAAGTACAGACAGACATCAAAAATTGAGCCAAGGCAAATATGCCAAATTTTAAGAAATAAGACATAATTTATTTATTTCCTCGGCAGGCCGAGGAATTTAATAAATACCTGCAGGATAAGATCGCTCAGATTCGAGAGGGGCTGGACTCCGACTGGGCGGGGTCGGTCGGGGAGGGGACAATGGGTATAGTGATTTGGGAAGAGTTTGATCCTGTTACTCCCGAGGAAGTGGACAGGATCATGGGGAAGCTGAGCGCCACCACATGTGTGCTGGGCCCATGTCCCTCCTGGCTCGTTTATTTGGCTTGG